CACCTAGTCTCTGTATCTACGTACACGGTAACCAGGCACCTAGTCTCACCTAGTCTCTGTATTTACGTACACGGTAACCAGGCACCTAGTCTCAGTATCTACGTACACGGTAACCAGGCACCTAGTCTCACCTAGTCTCTGTATCTACGTACACGGTAACCAAGCACCTAGTCTCTGTATCTACGTACACGGTAACTGGGCACCTGGTCTCACCTAGTCTCTGTATCTACGTACACGGTAACCAGGCACCTAGTCTCTGTATCTACGTACACGGTAACCAGGCACCTAGTCTCTGTATCTACGTACACGGTAACCAGGCACCTAGTCTCACCTAGTCTCTGTATTTACGTACACGGTAACCAGGCACCTAGTCTCAGTATCTACGTACACGGTAACCAGGCACCTAGTCTCACCTAGTCTCTGTATCTACGTACACGGTAACCGGGCACCTAGTCTCACCTAGTCCCTGTATCTACGTACACGGTAACCGGGCACCTAGTCTCCCCTAGTCTCAGTATCTACGTACACGGTAACCAGGCACCTAGTCTCACCTAGTCTCTGTATCTACGTACACGGTAACCGGGCACCTAGTCTCACCTAGTCTCAGTATCTACGTACACGGTAACCAGGCACCTAGTCTCACCTAGTCTCTGTATCTACGTACACAGTAACCGGGCACCTAGTCTCAGTATCTACGTACACGGTTACCAGGCACCTAATCTCTGTATCTACGTACACGGTAACCGGGCACCTAGTCTCTGTATCTACGTACACGGTAACCGGGCACCTAGTCTCTGTATCTACGTACACGGTAACCGGGCACCTAGTCTCACCTAGTCTCAGTATCTACGTACACGGTAACCGAGCACCTGGTCTCACCTAGTCTCAGTATCTACGTACACGGTAACCGGGCACCTAGTCTCACCTAGTCTCAGTATCTACGTACACGGTAACCGGGCTCCTAGTCTCTGTATCTACGTACACGGTAACCGGGCACCTAGTCTCACCTAGTCTCTGTATCTACGTACACGGTAACCAGGCATCTAGTCTCTGTATCTACGTACATGGTAACCAGGCACCTAGTCTCAGTATCTCTACGTACACGGTAACCAGGCACCTAGTCTCTGTATCTACGTACACGGTAACCGGGCACCTAGTCTCTGTATCTACGTACACGGTAACCGGGCACCTAGTCTCTGTATCTACGTACACGGTAATCGGGCATCTAGTCTCACCTAGTCTGTGTATCTACGTACACGGTAACCGGGCACCTAGTCTCAGTATCTACGTACACGGTAACCGGGCACCTAGTCTCAGTATCTACGTACACGGTAACCAGGCACCTAGTCTCACCTAGTCTCAGTATCTACGTACATGGTAACCAGGCACCTAGTCTCACCTAGTCTCAGTATCTACGTACATGGTAACCAGGTACCTAGCCTCAGTGTCTACGTACACGGTAACCGGGCACCTAGTCTCACCTAGCCTCAGTGTCTACGTACATGGTAACTGGGCACCTAGTCTCAGTATCTACGTACATGGTAACCAGGCACCTAGTCTAACCTAGTCTCAGTATCTACGTACACGGTAACTGGGCACCTAGTTTCAGTGTCTACGTACACGGTAACCAGGCACCTAGTCTCACCTAGTCTCAGTATCTACGTACACGGTAACCAGGCACCTAGTCTCACCTAGTCTCTGTATCTACGTACACGGTAACCAGGCATCTAGTCTCTGTATCTACGTACATGGTAACCAGGCACCTAGTCTCAGTATCTCTACGTACACGGTAACCAGGCACCTAGTCTCTGTATCTACGTACACGGTAACCGGGCACCTAGTCTCTGTATCTACGTACACGGTAACCGGGCACCTAGTCTCTGTATCTACGTACACGGTAATCGGGCATCTAGTCTCACCTAGTCTGTGTATCTACGTACACGGTAACCGGGCACCTAGTCTCAGTATCTACGTACACGGTAACCGGGCACCTAGTCTCAGTATCTACGTACACGGTAACCGGGCACCTAGTCTCACCTAGTCTCAGTATCTACGTACACGGTAACCGGGCTCCTAGTCTCTGTATCTACGTACACGGTAACCGGGCACCTAGTCTCACCTAGTCTCTGTATCTACGTACACGGTAACCAGGCACCTAGTCTCTGTATCTACGTACACGGTAACCAGGCACCTAGTCTCACCTAGTCTCTGTATCTACGTACACGGTAACCAGGCACCTAGTCTCACCTAGTCTCTGTATCTACGTACATGGTAACCGGGCACCTAGTCTCACCTAGTCTCTTTATCTACGTACGAGTTTGGCCAATGGCTGTGTAGTGCACACATTCCCAGTTTGGCCAATGGCTGTGTAGTGCATACATTCCCAGTTTGGCCAATGGCTGTGTGTAGTGCATACATTCCCAGTTTGGCCAATTGTGTAGTGCATACATTCCCAGTTTGGCCAATGGCTGTGTAGTGCATACATTCCCAGTTTGGCCAATGGCTGTGTAGTGCACACATTCCGAGTCCTAAACACAGAATTCTATACGTCATTCTAAGTGTAGAATTCTGTGGTCCTAAAGTAAACTCAAACTCAAAGGGAAGCAAATCTTAAAATGTAAAAAAAAAAATTGTAAAGTCTCCCCATGCCTATAATGAAAAAGACGACGAAGGTATTAAAGGTTGGGGCAGAGAAACTCACACAGACAGACACACACAGACAGACACAGACAGACACACACAGACAGACAAACACATACAGACAGACACAGACACACACAGACAGACACAGACAGACAATAGACAGACACAGACAGACACAGATACAGACACACACAGACACACATAGATACACTCAGACAGACACACAGACAGACAGACAGACAGACAGAGAGACACACACAGACAGACACACACAGACACAGACAGACACACACAGACAGACACAGACACAGACAGACAGACAGACAGACA